TGAGGCGCTCACCGACCAACACAAGGCAGAAGGCGGTCCTGGTATCGACGTCGAACAAGCTCGCTGAACGCGTCTAAGTTGAGGTCCTTCCACGAAGCGTTTGCCAACATGAAGGTAGGGTGATGTCCTAACTAATTTCAAGCTCAGGGCCGAGACAAAAGCAGCCCTATTCTAGATCACAACACGGGTCCCCGTCATCTTCTCGCAGATCGTCCCCTGGTTCGCTGCCATACGCCTCACTCTTCAAGCCTGCCAACAAGTCCTTCCAAGTCAATTGAATTCCGGGCTTGGCGAGGTTTCCAATTCGGGGCGGAGGGTTCTGGATTACCCTTCTGTTTCGTAAAGCATGACCAGAGAAGGGTCTCTTGGAACGTTTGCTATCCGCAGTTTTCACGCAATGTGTGCTCGCAGAGGACACTTTCAGAACTGTCAACGTCACTCCCGTGGCTTTTGAAAGTGCCACACTCGCTGACAGGGCAAGGGCCTGCGGCTGTCTCGGGTTGCTCTGAGGCAGGAAATCCCTACGGTCATCGCAAGTTGACTGGAGCTCTCTGAGAGCTGTCCTGGCCGGTGTGGAAGCATCCATGCTGCAGGGCCATGTGCGTTCGATCCACGCTGACCTCAGGGAACCCTGAACTCCTGTAGCTCTCGCAGATCATTCGTCACATTAATTCCTGCCTGGAAGTCTTTCTCCGCGTCTACCAGAAAGCCCTTGCGCGGCACCACGTTGTAGACCGCGCCATGAAGGGGGTGGGAATGGAAGGCTGCCTGGAGCAACTCTCGGAGTCGCACGGCTGTGACCTGCTGAGTCAGGGGATCGAAGTTCACCGTGTACACGGCCGCAGCGTTGTCGTAAGCATGATGCCCGAGCAGATGGAGGGCATACATGGCCGAGACTCGCAGGTGTTTCGAGGTGCTGCCCTCAGGAGCTGGGCCCGGATGGTATCCTTCTCTACCCAACTCCCACTCCGTTTCAGGCTCTGGGAGTCTGAAGGCTGCCACCGGGCCTTTCAACAGAGCCAGCTCGGGTACAGCGAAGTGGGGGTATCTTTCGAGCAGCAAGCTGGGGAGTACTTGCGGCTCAGGTGGATCCTCCGACTGTGGATCCGGGAGTTGCTCCAAAGTCTCGGCAGCATCTTTGCTGGGGTGGAAGTAACGGTAGGACAGGGCACGCTCGTAGAGCTCATTGCTGGGCTGCTCCCTTAACTCAAGGTGCTGCGCCTCCCTGAACCTCGGTCATGCACGGTAGGACAAGTAGAGATGGCTGTGTTGCGGGTTCTGATATTGGCACTAACTAGCACTAACTCGTAGTAAGACTAGTAGTAGCTCCAGTACTAGGTGGATAGGCGTTGTCCAAGAAACCATCGAAGGGCCGCCAACTGATCTTTCCGCTCGGCCGGAGTCAGCAGCACCCGAGGGATGGGTGGCACGCGACGGACGAGGACCTGGGTAAGTTTCTGGGTTTGGGCCCCTTTGGGTCCCTTTTGTAAGGAGGCCGTACGATCTTTTGTTGGTACCTAACAAGGGACCCTAATTTGAAGAACTACCCACCTGGTGCTTGCACTACACTGATTCGGTCTGGGCTTAGGCCCCTCTCTTCCAAGGCGCCGCTACCTGCCCTTCCCTGCAATGCAGCTGTGAGCCTCTTGCCTAGGCCTATAGTATTATAGTGTCCTGGCACATATGCAATATATGCCGGACCTCGAAATAGATCTAAAGAAACCGTATCAGGAGATCGCACACACATCCCAGCTTCGTTGTTGCACTCTGCGCCGAGGCCCGGGCATCTGTTCGGAGAAGCATTTTGTGGCCCTCCCCATCTGCTGGGATGCCTTCGTGCAGCAGAGACTGGCCGAAGAGGAGTGCCGTACCAGCTTCAAGCCGGATGTCCAAGGCTCGGAAGCCGGAATCTAAGCCGCCCCGAGCTTTCAGCTCCTCCTCCAGGGTCATCCCACGAGAATCCAGCGGTTGCAATGGATAGAAGAATCGAGTCCTTCCTGCGGAGCTCAGTGGAATGAGCAGCGTGCACAGCGATCGGACATTCAGATCGGGACTGAAGGGCGCGTCCCGGTGCGGCTTCAGAAAGCCCTGAGGTCCGTAGGAATTCACCCGGAAGCAAGGGTTCAGCCCTTCCAACTCCCAGTCGCCCTGTGCACAGCCGAAGCCCATGGGCCTCTTGCTCTGCTCTGAGAGAGCTTCCTGGATCAGGGGCTTCGCCCGCTCCCAAAGCGTGTGGGCGAAGCGCTCGTCTTTCACGACCACGCGCTGGTAGCGCCGGGTGCCGTTGAAACAATCCACATCCATGGGAGCCAGTTCTGCCCACGCCGAGCTTCGGGCAATCCAAGAAACCTCGGACTTTGCAAGGAGCCCCGGAATTCGCGCCAGGCAGTCGCAGTGGTTAGACCCTTGGCCGCGGTCGAGCACCTCGTGAAAAAGCTCGCCGGAGCTTCCGACAACCCAAACCCCCAGGGACTTTGATTCTTTGGGCGTTGTTTTTTCGGCTTGCCTCAGATGATAGAATCTTCGAGGGGAAGAAGCAAACACCACAATGGCCACCAAAGAAGCCGCCACTGTTCAGTGCCTTAACACCTTGGGATGCGAAGCCATCCCTCCTTTTTTTTGCAACAGGCTTCCCTCCTAAATCCTAAACCCGCCTGACCCTGTGAATAGCGAGCCTCCAGCGGACCAGGATCGGGGAGCTGCCTGTCTGGGTTTCGTCGCATCAGATCGCCGACCTGGCACTGGTCCTTGGCTTTCGCGCGGGCCTTGGGGGTTTCGGGTGGGTTCAGGGTTTTGACTCGATACACTTCTCGATTTGTTGAGGGTCAGGGCCGCAGAAGAGCAAAGAGGCAACGATCTTGAGGTGAACGACCCTCGTCTGCGTGCTGGCTGGGCTATGCTGTCATGCGTCCTTCTACATCCGTCACATGTACACTACTCTCTCACCAAAGCTACAAGCCGACTTCGTCAGAGGCAGAGCCTGCTAAACCCAAAAGCCACCCAGTGTCCATGAGACATACCCTAAACCCTAAACCCTAAACCCAAAAGCCACTCAGTGTCCATGAGACATACCCTAAACCCTAAACCCTAAACCCAAAAGCCACTCAGTGTCCATGAGACATAAGGCCGCGTTCGATTCCAAGAACTCGGAGCGTCGGCTCTGCAAAGCTGGCCTTCACGAGATCACAGCTGAAACTTACGGATCCTTCTTCGTGAGGACCCCAGCAAGGAAGAATCAGTTTGAAGACATTCAGTCAAGGATTCGAGGATTTAGGGGCTTTTAGCGTTTGGCAGCGGGGTTTTGCTAGGGGTGAACAATTGCGGATGCGGGCAGCGACGACGACACAAAGCACCTCAATCAAGAAGGCTGATTCCTTGAAATATGATGATAACAGCCTTGTCAAAGATTGTCTTCATGCCAGGAGGTTCCGAGCCTTCCCACGCAGGCCAAAGTCAGCTCCGCAGTGCTCACCACCTCCAAAGGGTGGGTTTCGGAGAGTACGGATCTGGGGAGGGTCGAAGGGCTCCGTGCAGATTTGGACTTAGGACTCCGAGGGGCTTGGGCCTTGGCCTTGCAGGTCGGGGTCTTTGCATGTCTTTGGATCGTTTCTACCCTCACCACGTCCAGCCAGGCCCACCTGCACCTTCGTGCCGGGCTGGATGCCCAGTTCCGTTAAGGTCGTCGTTTTGGCGTCATCGCCCCAAAGCAGCATCTTCCTTATGAGGGAAAGGCAATCTTAGGACGTAGGACACCAGCAAGACTACTGTGACTGATATCACGAAAAAGGGAAGGCATCAACAAGAAGACTGGCAACACCACGCAATTGCAAGAATGGTTCTTACAACCAACAGTCATAATACAGGTAGCCGTGAAAACTCAACAGCAGCAGCAGCCCTGAGTGCCCCGATCCCAGGTCCCGCTAGAAGCCCCGTTGCGTCCGGTCTTTAGCGACTCATGGAGACCGGAAGTAAGAGGCACAACCGCAAGCAGTGCAACTCACTCTACGCTGGTACCCGAAAACTAACAACTCGAAAGAAAAAAAATTAGAGCCCTAAATCCCAAGCCCCAAACCCAAAATCATACACCCTAAACAGACCCAGCTTCCCATGGACCTGGAGCACTGGGCGGGTAGCGGGCTCCAAAGCCAGCTTGTCAGCGATCTTCACAGCAAACTCCCCCAAACTGCACTCGGGGTATGCCTCAACATCCACCTGGCATAACCCTAAACCCTGAACCCTTTTGCAACAGGCTTCGTACTAAACCCTAATCCCTAAACCCTAAACATATATTTTTGCGCCATTTGAGGACTGAAGGCTCCTGGCGTTGATGTCTTGTTATTCCGAGCCTTCAAGTTTCCGGGCTTGGGGCTTAGTTTGAAGGCTCTTAAACTGTAGCTTTTTCTCAAGAAATCGAAAGTAAGAAAGTCCCTTTAAGGGAGGGTTGAAGGGCAAACCACCTCCACTTCGAATGATCGGGCCCTGGGCTGCGAACCCTCAGAACTCTCCATGCTCCCGTCCGAGCTTTCCCCGGAGCTGCGGGCATCGACCACCGTCACCACCCAGGACCTCCGTACCAGCTGAAGCTCCAAAATGCTTGCCCCCTCGGTGTCCAAGACATCCCTGAGAAGCTCCAGTTTTTGCAAAGCCCGAGTGCCCTTGAGGAGCGTCTGGTTATGCGGCAGACGATCCTGCTGGGCTGCGAGCTTCACATTGAATTCGTGTACCGTCCAGTCACGGCCCGCTGCAACAACGCAGAGCTCCAGGCCTGTGGTGGCACTCGACACATGCACAGCCAGCATGCGGCTGGGTGGCAGCGTGCCAGTAGGAGCTGAAGCCAACTGCGGCTGTCAGACAAGATCTACCATCACTCAGACACGTGGCTATATGCAAGACATCATCGCTGGGCAGTGCTCCTGCAACGACCTGATTTCGATGTGTAGAAACATGTATATTCCCTGCGCAAGTATAACTATTCGTATATGTTTACAGTGGCAAGGCTCGACGACGGACTTGACGGCCTGAAGCGCGGAGTTCAGCTCCTGACGCGCGGCTTTTGGGGGGACTGAAGAAATGTAGGGCTTTGAGGCTTGGTGCAACGGGGCTCAATTTTATGCATGCTTGGAAAATTCAGGGTTTTCGGGGAAGTTTAGTTTTAGGTTTGGCTCACGGATTTTCGATCTCGACCTTTGCATGCTACAGCTTGGGCGAAAGTCGGAGAGCTTGCAGAAAGATGAGAGTTCATGTCATGCCTTCTTCCGTCCCCATTGCCACGGACCGGCTATACAACATGTGCCTCTGCACTGCTGCCCTCTCCGGAACCACTTTTTTGTCCGTATACATGCAACCAAAGCAGACGTAGTTAGCATCCGGCAGAAGGGCACCGACAAGCCTTTCACTTTCGACCGAATCCCCGGGCCTTGACCCGTTCAACGCTAAACTCCCTACTGCATAAAGGGTTTAGGGTTTAGGGTTTAGGGTTTAGGGTTTAGGGTTTAGGGTTTAGGGTTTAGGGTTTACACTCTCACAACTCGGACAAGCCAGGCGAGGATCCATAGGTGCAGGGTTTAGGGTTTAGGGTTTACAAGCCCGCAGACTCCCACAAACCCGATGTGTCGCAACACTACAAACACATGGGTCGTTCTCCAAACTAAGGTTTTGTTTTGGGGTCCCCAGTGCAGGGCACACTTCTAAAAGGGACCCCATTCCAAAAAAACTACGGAAGGCCTGTTTACTCCGCCGAACCTTAGACCTAAAGCCTACTCTCAAAAGGGGTGTGTAATCTAAACCGCAAGAGTCTCCCTACAAAAGGAGGTGACACCACACAACACAACCTGTAAACCCCACAAGGTCCTATAAAAATCCCCACGGCACCCCAACAAAAAGAACTGAAAACCCTCAACTCCCAAGATACCTGGAGGTCGATGGTCCCACTGAGGTCACGATCGAACATCTGGAAAGCAGCCCTGTCGCTGCTTTCGAGGGTTCGAAAGGGTTGGGGATTTAGGGTCTAGGTTCCTGGTTTTGGTGGTGGGGGGGGGGGGGGGGGGTTAGGCTGCTTTCTGGCTTGGGCTTAGGGACTTTTCCGTTCATTATGGTCTCTTCTGCCTCGTTGTTTTGCCTTCCGCTTGCTTTGGGCTCCGACTGCAAAGCAGGAGGAAGCTGCGCTTGGACTTCTAGGAGGCTGCGATTGTTGTGTTGTGGTTGCCCGAAAGGCAGCTGCTCGTCAAGTTTGGGGTATCGGAGCTTTGGGGTACTCCGGCTGCTGCGATTCTATGGGGATTTGGGCTTTAAGACTTTAAGCCTAATATCAAGGCCTGAGCACTGCTGACCGGCCCAATCCTCAATTACCTTATAGTACCCTTTAAAATGGGGACCACATGGAATGGAACCCTATAGTACCCTTTAATGGCACCCCTTTAAGGGTTTAGGGTTTAGGGCTCAAGGAACGAGTCAGCTGTCCTGGCGTGACGTTGCAAGCCAGTTGCAAGAGGGCTCAAGTACCGAAAAACTATGGGAAGGGCCCATCAGCAGCCGCATACCTAGTTTCTTCCGCGCAAGATAAGGCCCTGCAGGCTTGACAAAGCAAGTCGCGATTCACTCCTCATCTCCGACCTAGCCCAACCACAAAAGAGCCCTTGCACTTTGACCGAACCCTGCTTTGAATATTATAAACTCTACGTTGCAAAAGTGGTCTGCGGCTTCTACCAGCAGTCACCCAAAAGTCCGACAGCCCCTTGTCGCAACTGCCGCGAGCAGTCAAGGCACTGATATTCGGGGTTCCTCGGCTTCCCATGCACAGTGAAAAAGCCCACGGCCACGGCTAGGAGCTCGTCAAGTTGAACACAGGCCTCTTAAGCTGCAAGTACACTTAAGAAAGCAGGCCGAGATAAAGCGCAGAACATGCACCGACGGAGCTCGTTTAGCCTCGAGGCCGGATGCACTGGCGTTTCGCCAACATGTCCGGCTCCTCAAACATGCCCCGCTTGCGGCCTCACGAAATCAGAGGCTGCAGAATGCTGCAAGGCAAGTGGCCGATGCTTCAATGTGACTCTGAAAAGCTCGTGGAATTGAAGGCCACGGGTTGGCTCACGACACTTGAAGAGATGTGCGCAGAAGCGAGTACTGCCCAGTGCTGTGCTCATCATTCCCAATCAACCAACATCAACCGACTCTTAGCCTCCTGAAGCCCATCCATCATATGGGGTTTTCCGAAAATAGGAGACCCTAATATAGCACCCTAAATAGTAGCATCCTCATGATAAAGACCCCAAAATACGGCACCCTTATTTTCGGAAACTCCTATATCTGTTTGGTGCTTACGGTTTTCTTGCCTGAGGGTTTCGACTCTCAGTCTCGCAGGCAGGCAAGGATCCACATAATGCCGTCACGCCTACCGTCCTAAGGACTTGCCACCAAAGTACAGAAACGCCTCAGGGTTTAGGTTTTAAGGAAGTTTTGACACTCACACTCGGACAAGCCTGGCAAGGAAGGTTAGGGTTTGTCATAGCCCGGCAAGCGTACCGGGAATATGCAAGATTTCAGCCGCCACCGAGGCGGCTGCTGGCCCCTGTCATCGAGGCAAGCATGGCACCCACAAAGTTGGCCTCGCAGGCACCCAAAGTTTTTAGGGTTTAGCGTTTAGGGTTTAGGTTTTAGGGTTTAGGGTTTAGGGTTTAGGGTAAGTGCTATGAGTGGTAACGCTTGTTGGTGTGTAGGCATTGGATTCGAACTCTGCTCGGATCGGTTCAAAAAAGAGTCTATACTGCTTATCCCCACCATGGTCGCGGGTCTAAGATTCGAGAGACTCTCCGTGGGCCACACACCCCGGAGTCAGCGCAAAAATTCAGAGCAAGAGCAAGGTAAGAATAGAGGAGACGAGCAACGATTCACATGAATATCACGGCCACTACGACACTCGCCACAACCATCACCATCGCAAGAACGAGAGAACAGCCACGTCAAACTTTTCTGCTAGCCCATGCCGGAACGAATCGGAGCCCATCCAGAGAAGGCCGCAAACAAACTTCCCCGGGCCTAACCAAGGCAATCGGAAAGGTGGACAGTGCGACTGGCCACAGGGTCTGCTCGGCAAAAAGCGCGTCTTGTTCTTGTATGTCTGCTTTAGAAGTTGCTGCATGGTGTTAACTCAAATTCCAGGCAGGTTTGGCAGAATTTGAAAATCATCGTGCCAAGTACAACCAGTAAACGTCATCATCTCTTTTTGTCTCACAACGGGAAACGCTTGGCCCAAAGCTGCGAGCGACTCTGTCTGGAAAAGGACTGTATGACTGATGCACAACAAACCACCTGGTGCAGCTGAAGCTGGGCGGGCTCCAAGTGATGGAACAGTAACTTCATAAAGCATTCGGTATGCCGCGGTCTCTGTTTTCATGGTTTCTCCGCAGGGCGCTGCTGACACCGGACTGCTGTGCAGGGTGAGCGACGGGAACTTCGAAAGCAAGCGCTGGCCTTGCTCAAAATGCAACCGAAGAAATGACAGAACAGCCCTCTCAACCCTTAGCCCCTGTGCCTGTATTGCGGGGAGCCCGAAATCCCAAGTTCCATGCTCAACCTGCGACTGTGCAGGCTGATGGCCTCTATCCTGCAACGGATTCGCCGTACCGAAATCTACCGGCTCCCACTCAAAACTACTCTAAAACGGCTAAGCGGCAAAATGCTCATCAAAGCCCCCTGCTACATCATCGGACGACTCCAAACTAGGCGGGAGAACTCTGTGAGCGCTCGGGAGCTTCGGAGTCTGCATGATCCGTATTCCTCTCAAAGCTGAAAGCCGCTGGAACTTGTGGACTTTCTACTTATGTCTTATATTATATCATGTTAATATAGGGGCCTTCATGATTACCTATATTATTTTGGTCTAAAAATCCGTGCAAGGGTGGAAAGCATCGGCCAGGGCCGAGAGGGCAGTGCCTTTGGGCAGCGCCCCTGTCTGCACCCTAAACCCCGGGAGAAAAAATCACCCAAGACTAACCGGCTCACTTGGATTGGCTGGTTTAGGATGTAGGATATGGGGACTTCGGGATTCGGGCTCAGACTTGTCTCATGGGAGAGCCGGCAAGTGTCGGATGCTTCGTCGCATGAGCATCCGTGGTTGCATCTTCGCAAGCCTCCCTCCATCAACAAGCGAGCTCATAGCTCGATCGAAAGACGACCTCCTAGAGTCATGAAGTTCCTTCCTCCCAGCAGTCTCAACGCCAGATCTCCTCCACCCTTTGAGGCCCTAAACCCAGAGCCTTGTGCCTCTCGCCTTTTGGCTCCTAAACTTCACCGCCCTCTGTCAGACAGTCGGCCAGCTCGGCAAAGCGAGGGTCCTCCTCGCAGGGCAGCAAAAGGTTTAGGGTTTGTTTCAATTCAGCGCTTAAGTCTTCAGGCTTTCAAGCCTGAGGGTTTCAACTTTGATCTCTTGCCTGGAGGTAGTGAGCGCCACCTACGTCCGAATACGACAAATTCGCCTTGGCTTCAGCTCACTGGATGAATGAAACAAGACTTCGATGTCCTGCGGTCAACTGCGGAGCACACTCTTAAACTCCTTCTCCCTCCGCCTCCTCCTCCTCCTACTCCTCCTCCTCCTCCGCCTCCTCCTCCTCCTGCTTGTTCTGGATTGCTTACTGGCATATAGACGAAGCAACTGGACATGCAGAAACAAGGGCATCAGCTGTAGCCTGAACCACGATCAGAAGGATTGCGCGCAGCTCCCGCAGAAGCCATTGCCGGCCTCGCCGCAAGTCCTCCTTTGTCGTCACTCAGAAACTCAAGTGCTAGCATGGGACTATGCACGCAGCTTCTCACACTGTGAGCGGCTGCAGAAGGCGTGTCCCTCGTAGTTCCTATGCAGCCCAAACCATAGATCCAAAACTGAACCCTCGCCATCTCTCGACACTACGAAAATTGAGCCCTAAACCCCTCTTTGTGGACAGGCTTGCTGGGTTTACACCTGGATATGCACATTCCGAACCTGAAACCTCTATCAGCGCAACCAAAATGTCGACGTGTCATACGCACCACGCCATAAATCGAAAACTATCGAGCCAAGACCCCGACCAAATCCTAGCACCAGACACCACCCTGATATGTGCAACGTATCGTGATAGCTCCGAGGACCCTGACCCTGCAAAAAACATGCACCGATTGGCGACTGCTCACACCGGCATATTGCGTCGCCGCAGAACCATTTCCCACCGTGCCTGTATAAGTGCGCATGTTTTTCCTCATCATCTCAAAGCTGCACTCCCCGCGCAGCTTGGACTTGTATACTTCATGCATCACAAGAACATCGCGAGTATGGAATCAACAGCAGATTCAAGATACTTCTCATAGGTGTGGTCTCGCGTGCCTGGGCTTTGGCTGCCGCTCTATCGTAGTATCTCTTTACATTTTGATAAGCTACGAATACCTCCCACAGGTCTAACATTTAGATACCTCGAACGCACCCTCCCTCATCGGCCTGCAGATCCTCTCCTTTGGAGGTCGGGGAGCTCGCTGCCTCCTCCGCAGCGCACCGCTGTTCTTCAGCCACCGCCCAACAGACCTGGAAGCAAGGGTTTCGACTCACACACTCGCA